CCTCGGAGGTACTTGGAGGGTGGCCGAGACAGCAAGAAGGAGATGTAGGAGGAAGGTTGGAGATGAGATTTCAGCAGAATCATCAACCTCCTATGGCATTAGATGCCAGAGAGAGCAGGGAAATGCTCCATCTCCCATGGGAGGGAGGTGCAGGGACACTGCCCACTGCAGCCTGTGCTGTACGTTCATGAAGAGAACCACAGAAATGCCCATGAACTGGGACTTCTTTCATGCCTGGCTTTGTCCAAGTGTCTGCATGGGAAGATTTGGTGTCTGGCTCCTTTTTTTTTTTCTTTTTTTCCCCCTGAAACGGTGTATTTCCTGCAAACTTGCAGCTGGCAGTGGCCCAGCTCACGGGCTTCAGTCATGGTAAGTTAGGAGGTATCTGCTGAGCTTGTGAGAGGGACAAACACATCCTTAAAAACAACTGTCTCCTCCATCAACACTTCTCCCCCAGCCTGGAAGTCTGACATCCATCCGGCAGCGCCTCTGCTCCGGGGCTCCCTGTCCTTCCTCGCGGGACGGGGACCTTCCATTGTCCCAGCGCTGGTGACAACGAGGACGAGATGTCACCTCCCTAATGAGACCTGACAAATGGGCAACTGGGCTCTGCTCGGGGCCTCCAATGGTTCAATTCCATAGCGCCGTGTCGGGGCAAAGGGCAGGAAGGAATAATCCCGGGATGGGGATGCCTTTCCGACTGAAAGGTGCTGGGGAAGCTGGAAAGATGGAGTTATCCAGGATTTCTGTGTCAGCGCCCAGGACCTTTCACAAACAGACTGTATGATCTAAATACCATGTGATGAGGCCCCAAACTGCAACCCGGTGTCGGATTCAGAGCAGGTTCCATTAGGCTGGGAAAGGAGCCTGGAAAGGAGCCGGGTTAATCCAGAAGGAAAAAATTTGTGCCCGTGCACAGATTCTGCACAGAGAGGTTCTGCCAGCAGAGGTTTAGCCCTGGGGTAGCTGATCCAGCACCAATAACTCCATAAAAAACTAATTTTTTTTCTCTAAAGTTTGGCACTTTTGGTGAAAGTCATGAACTAAAAGGGGCTTGTGAGCAGAAGGAAAAGTCTTCATGCTTTTGGTGAGGCTTCTTAGGGCTTAGAAGCTTCCTGAGGAGAATCCAGCATTGCAGGAAAAATATAATTTGAGGAACTAAACCCATTTTTTTTGGTCAAATGTCTGCAGGTTTTAAGATAGTGCATCCATATATATGTATCTATATACATTTATCTATATATATTATATTATCTAGTCCTTTAAAATCAATTAGATTTTATTTTTATGCATGGATGTAAAAAACCAGGGAGGATGAGTGTGCTGAACAGTAATTATTGATTATTTTTTTATATTTTATAGTTGCTTTTATTAAAAACATTCCTGCTGTTCCACTCTCTGTGAAATGTTGTTATCACCTTAAGCATCAATGAACATTTTCTCGGGTGGATGTCACATGTTTATTCCTGTGTTTTGCCCCTCATGAAAGAGAGAACTGTGTGAACCCATGTGTTTATGCTTGAAATATTTATGAAATATTGAGTATTTGGGTTTCTGACAGTAGTTAATGCAGAAATAGCTATTTTTATACTACCTGTGTGTGTGTGGAATGAGCAGGGGGGATGTGCCCTCTGTGGCAGGTGTTTTGTTGCTAAGGACTTTCTACTTCACCAAGTGCCATAATTCAAAATATTGGCCCTGCTGGCCTTGCCCTGGATCATTTTGTAACCCAGAGAGTTTTGAACTTGAATCCTCTGCCTGCAATTAAATGTTCCAGACATACAAAACAGAGATGGGAAGTGAATTCTCCGTACTCATTCATGGTTCTTTCTCATTAGACGCGGTGTCGGCAATTAGGCTCTTTGCAATTACGAGAGGCACGATGTGAGCATTTTTAGAGAGCACCTGGAGGGTTTCTGCCACCCTTTCAGGCAGGACTAACAGCCACTTGTCCTCTGAATCTGATGAGTAGGCAAGTGCTCACAGGGTTTGGAGACGGGCTGAATCAGCAATCGGTGCCACAAAAGGGAGCGTGTGCGAGAGAGGGAGAACCGGTGTCCTCCACTGGAAGGCTTTGATCAGCACTGCAAAGACAAAAGCTTTTTGTGGTTGGGACGAGCAAACTCAACAAATTCTTGTCTTGTTGCGCTTGGGAGGAATTCACGCCGTTGTTTTAACCTTGTTATGTTCGAACTTAAAAATATTGGTTAAAATATCACGGTTGGACTCGATGATCCTGGAGGTCTTTTCCAGCCTTAATGATTCCGTGGCTCTGTTTGTCCTTTATGTTGACACCAGATGTTAATCACTGGTTGCTGATTAGCACTGAGCTGTGACGAGCTCCTCTCTTTGGGATGTGAATCCCAATTTTTTGGGGTTGCAGCTGCGACCGTGCGAACCCACGGTTTCACTGCAAACTGCTGACATCTGGGAAGGAATAGTGGGGCTTGTAAAATCTGCCTTGAGTTGTTTGGGATAAAAAAATAATCCCAAAATCTCTCTCTCCTCCAAACCCTTGTTATCTTAAGGGTGTGAATATTAAGCAAATTCCATGTGTTGGGTTGAGTGGCTCTGGTTGAGCTACGAGCAGAGAGGCTGATTTGTGTGTGATGATGGAGAGACTCGGCTCAGGAGCCCAAAACCATCTTGTTTCCACGCTGAGCATCCATGTGACTTGTGTTATGCACAGATCCATGTTCTGGAAGTGAAATCTCCTGGAGTGGAACTTGTCTACCCAGTGCTGCTGCTTGTACAGCTCCTGTTGTCCTCAGCTCAGGAGCATCAGGACGATGTCAGCACTTGGCCAGCTCAGCTCCAGATCCATTTGGATCCATGAGAAACTCAAAAATTCAGGACTATTCAGTCCCAAATCCATGCACATACCTGGCTCAGGTGGGCTCCAAGTGGATTTCCTGTGAGCTTTCCCTCCAGACCCCACGTGGAGCTGCTGGACCCATTCCTTTCATCTTCCACAGGGCTGGGAGAAGTTTTGTTTTACTTCCTGTCTGCTTCCAATCAGGCTTTCATTTTCCCCTGGCTGATAGGCCTCTGTGGAGTAAACCCAGGGAAAACTGGCATTTCCTTCTTATAAGGTCAAAACAACAACATTTAATGCACCATGTTGTGTGTTATCTGTTCCCCTCGCTATTTTTATGGATTTCACTGTGTTTTAATAAAAGAGCTGTTTGCACACCAGAGCAAGGACAATGACAACCCCCCTGATGGCCTTTGTGCTGCTGGGCCTGTGTGGTCTCTGCTGTGAGACAAACATTTGGAGGCAGAGGCAGAGAGATGGAAGGTCCCCACCCCTGGCACGTCTTTCCTGAAAAACAACCAACAAAAAATATTTGTTAAATAACAGTTAGCACGTATTCAAAGGTGCTTGGGAAATATCGGGGTTTTGCAGATCTCTTGGTCAATCCGGGTGGGAGAAGATAAATCCCAATCCTGTGTGTTGTGGATGGATTCCAGGGGAAACCAGTGGCTCCTGCCTGGCTTGGCAGCCACATCCTCTTGGGATTTTTCTGTCCCGTTTGGTTTTTGAGGCATTATCATAATTTGTAAGGATTTCTAATAACATGAGCTGTGTATTTAATGATGTATTAGCATTGTCTGCTCCTGGATGGCTCCACACAGCTGGGATGCAGGGATTGGGATGCTCCTGAAAGCTGTTTCGGGGGTGGTTTCAGATGAGTTCTCATCAATCAGGAACATGGGAAAAAATATGTTGCGTTGTTGGTCAACGGCGTCACAGAGGGAATAGGACCCCTTGGAGCACAGATGAGGAGAAAGCAGTGGTCACTTTGTGTTATGAACAGCAGCCAGGTGAAGGCAGAGCCCACCTGCAGCAGCTGGAGCTCCTCAGCTTCCCTGAGATCTGTGGGAAGTGATGTGGAGCTCCTGGTTTGTGCATTGGTGGAGGGTGTGAGCCCGAGCTGAAGCTGCAGTTGTGGAGTGGAATTGGGTTGGAGTGTGGCTGGGGGAGACCCACCACTGCTCTCCCAGATATCCCAATGGATCTCCACCTACTCTTTCCTTTCTTCCTGGTCTAATCCTGCAATTTTCTGTCACTCTCTAACAGCTGTTAAATCCTGTCACAGCACAGTCTCTCAAGACTTTATCAACATCCTACTGAGGTTTTTACCAACCAGTCTCTGACTGTTTAAGTTCTAAACAGTGACAGAGTCGACCACCCTTGTCCTTGGCTCCTGTTTGCAGCTCTCCAGCCACAGGAGAGGGTTTGTCCACATCCTTTTCCCAGGCAGTGCCAGGGATGTCTGTGCCAAATTATTTTTTAATAATTTATAATTTGTTCATGTAACTTAATTAATTTTATTTCTTTAATTTAATTTAATTCATTTAATTAATTTAAATGAATTAATTATAATTTTAAATGAATTTATTATAACTTATAAACACCACTGCCTGACCCATGGGAGGGCAGTGGAAGGCTCAGGGGAGCATCCAAAGGAGGGCAGTGAGGATGGGGAAGGGCCTTGATTTGAAGCCGTGTGAGGACACTGAGGGCGCTTGGAGTGTTCAGCTGGAGAAGGGGAGACTGAGGGGAGACCTCAGTGCAGTTCCATCTTCCTGGGCAGGGGCAGAGGAGGGGCAGGGACTGAGTTCTGCTCTGGGGGGACCAGGGACAGCACCCAGGGAAGGGCTGGAGCTGTGTCAGGGCAGGGTCAGGTTGGATCCCAGGAAAAGCTTCTTTCCCCAGAGGCTGGTTGGGCACTGCCCAGGCTCCCCAGGGCAGTGGGCACAGCCCCAAGGCTGCCAGAGCTCCAGGAGGGTTTGGATGATCCCCTGGGGCACAGGGTGGGACTCCTGGGTCTGTCCTGTGCAGGGCTGAGGGTTGGGCTGGATGGTCCCTGTGGGTCCCTTCCAGCTCAGCACATTCTGGGATTCCGTGACCGCGTGGCCATGCCCTTGTCGAGGTTGTGTTGGCCCTGCTCCTGGTGGCTCTGCTGTGCTCACCCCTGCTCTCTGCTCTTGCCCAGGGGAGGTGTTTCGGCCGCCGCATGAGCACGTCCTCGCCGGGCCATGGCCCCGCCGCCCGCGCCGGCCTGGCTGCTGCTGCTCGGCCTGCTCAGCGCCCACGGCCGCGACTTCACCCGCAAGGACATCGTCTACCTCCACCCCTCCAGTAAGTCACCTCTGGGGGGAGCGAGGACAGGGACGAGGGCAAAGGCATGTCAGGGCAGAGCTGAGAGTGGAGCAAAGGCTAAACATGTGTCCCCACACTCATGGAGCCAAGTTGGTGTGGAAGAAGAAGAACCAAGTTCTCTGGGCCCACCTCAAGGCCGAGTTGGACGGGGCTTGGAGCAACCTGGCCTAGGGGAAAGTGTCCCTGCCCATGGCAGGGGGTGGAACAAGATGATCCCTAATTTCCCTTCCAACCCAAACCATTCTATGATTCTATGTAAAACCAGACCAGGGTTTATAGGACAGGTGGGGTCACAGGCAGCTGCTGGGCATGTCAGGAGCCTTTAGTTCACTCTTTTCTGTCCCTCAATAATCTCCCTGGCCAGGAGACCGAGTTCCATGTCCACTTGGACCCTGAGCACACGGATAGCTGAGAGCAAGGGCCAAACACCACCATTAGCAGCTGTGGCACCACCAGCTCCTGGCTTGATTTCAGCAACTCCCTGAGCAATGCTATAGCAGAGTTGGACATCTTTAGCTTCTTCCCTGGACTCTCACTAGTCTATTCACTTTATCAGACACAAACGTAGTGAATTCCATGAGAAGAGGGCGCTTCTGGAGCTGTTCCTGCCATCTCTTCCCAGAGAAAACTCACCACTTCATGCATTTGGCTGGAAAATTTATATTCTGCACAAGCAGGATGAAATTCCTGGTTTACACCATAACCACAACCAGCGATCCAGGGTGAGAGGGATGAGTTTAGTCTGTGCTGGTGTGTTGTCCCACCCCAAGCTGTTCCTTGAGGGCAGCACCAGCCCCACCAGAGATGCTCCCAGCTGACTCTGGCCCAGAACTGAGGGACAAAGGGAAAGAGAGGAAGAGGAGGGAGGGTTAAGATGTGATCCATGGGGCTGTCAAGGTTCAGTTTACTTCACCTCATGAAGATAAACATGACCTGTTCACCGTTTGGCTTCTGAGAAGGTGGCAGCACCTTGGAGAAGCGTTGGAGGTGCTCCAGAAGTGCTGCCAGGAGAGGACTTAAGGAATTATGCTCTTTGTTTGGCAAGAGAAATTAGGACAGAGGCTGCTGGTGAAAGCTGGAGGTTCAGCACAGTGGATTTTCTTCCCTTTGGGAACATCAGCCTTCAACAGGAGCAGCTCTTTTCCTCGGTGGGACAATTTCCAGAGTATTTTAATCCATCTGATATTTTGTTATCAGCACCGATCAAGCAGCGGTGTTGGATGTGAGCTCTGATTCCAGGGGAATAAGTGTTCCTTGCTCACATTAACTCCCTTTGAAGTCAGTCTGCTGGGTAAAAACACATCTGAAATGAGTCCATATGTACCTAAAAGTATCTCTGCCCTGCTATAGGTGGCGGGGTTTTCCAAATCAGGCCCAACCTGCTGAAGCTCACAGGTGTGTATTTGTAGAAAAACAGATCTGAAGAGAACAAATGTTGCTGTGTGCCTGTGAAAAGCACCATGGAAGCAGATTACCAGGCTCATTTTAACTCCGTGTTATCCATTCCTTCCAGCCACGCCGTATCCTCGGGGATTTAAGTGTTTCACCTGCGAAAGGGCCGCGGATAATTACGAGTGCAACCGCTGGGCTCCGGACGTCTACTGTCCTAGAGGTAACATTAATTAGTGTTTAATTAAACCCACTTTCCCACTGCTGCTCCCTGGCCCTGCCACGGGCCACACTGAGCCCCTGGTATTCCCAGATCTGGTGGTTCTGCTCCTTTTGCCTGTAAAGTCTCCCCAGCAAAGGAAGAGGTGTAAGCGATAGGAGTAATCCTTTAAGCTTTTCTGTCTCTGTGCTGGATGAAGTTTAGGACTTTCATCTCTTCCCTGCACTCCTCTGGTTCAGCTGGGGATTAAATCAGGGGGATGTTTATTTTATAGAGTCGTGGAAACACGGAATGGTTTGGGTTCAAAGGGACTTAAAGCCCATCTTGTTCCAATCAGGGACACCTTCCACTGGACCAGGTTGCTCAGAGTTCAGTCCAACCTGGCCTTGGACACTTCCAGGGATCCAGGGGCAACCACAGCTTCTCTGGGCAACCTGTGCCAGGGCCTCCCCACCCTCACAGGGTGTATTTTTAAAGGTTGTGTTTCCCTTACTGGGGAGTACAGGCCTGGTTCTGCCTTTGTTCACTTCCCTCCCCTTGGGCACGAGCCCACACTCAGGGCAGCTGAGGCTGGAATTTTGATATTTTCAGTGGTTTGATCTCATAACTCCCCTTGGAGTCTGAATTTTGGAACAGCTCGGGAAAACCTTTGGAATACAGGCACTCAAATATCATACCCAGGCACTGGTGAGATCCCCAGACCTCCCCTTCCCTTCCCACTCTTTCGAGACACTCCCAAGACATTAAGATTATCCAACCTATGAAGCCCCTTTAGTTGGGTTGGGTCTGTTTTGGGACAAGTGCCCTCAGAAAATATTTACTTTGGAAGGAGGGAGGCTCTGACCTGCCCTGTGTGGGGACACAGATGTGTTTGCAGCATGTTATCTGTCCCAGAATTGATTTCCTTTGAGCTGAAATCAGCACAGCAACAACAACAATAAAAGAGCTCAGGCTGCCTGGCATGGGATGAGACAAATATTCCCAGACACTCCCTGTTTTGACAGGAGAAAGGAGTATTTAGGTGGCTGTGTGCAAGGAGAAAGGGGTGACTCCAGGGTCTGCCTTTAGAAACAACCAGCAGAAATGATTTGATCAAACCCAGTTCTGATCTGGAAAGGGAAATTAGTGACAAATGGTGGTTTAAGGGAGAGGAAAACTGTGCTTTGGGGTGTCCAGAGCATCCCCATTACTTAGAAGCATCAACTTTCACGCTGCAATGTTTGATTTTAATTGCTCTAAATTTCTCTCTGTTATTTTTGGTAAAATTTTTGGGTCCACTTTCTTCACAAGCTCAGCCTGGAGTTCTTCCTCCATCCCTCTGGGCAGGAGGGCTTGATGTTCCCCTCCTTTACTTTACTTTGCTCTGGGCTCTTCCAGTGTTCTCTGGCTCAATTCTTACACTTGGAATGCCTGGAGAAGAGAGTAAAAGTTAATTTTCATTGGAATGAGCGGATTTTATTGCTTATTGTGGATTTGTGTGTAGCTTTGCAGGAGGTGACAGCCTCCGCAGTGCAAGGAGAACTGTGCCTGGTGTTCCTGGGCCAGGAAAATCCAGGAAAATCCATATCTCCAAGATGATTGCACAATATTTTCTGAAGGAAAGGAAGGAAGAAAGAATGAAACAGCCTTAAAAGAGTTATTGGGAGAGGGTGTTGGAAGTTTTATTTGTTCCATCTGGGACTGGTCAGGGGGAAACTTCACTGCCAGAGCAGGGATGACAAAGCTCAGAATTGCTGGGAATGGCACTTCCAGGCAAAGTGCTGGGAGGAGCTCACAGCTGGGGCACAGAGGGTGCTCTCCTTGGGGTAAAACTGTGAGTTTTAGGGCAGGAGAGGCTGGAAAACACATCAAAAGCCCTGGGAATGAAGGCAAACAGCACACAGAGAGACTCCATCCTCCAGTGATAAGTTAAGTCTGTTCTGTGATATCACACTTGAGTCAAGAGCAGGTCAGAGATATGACAGATATCTGGGGGGTTTTATTGCCTAAAGAATGACATGTTCAGTCCACAAGCTCGCTGGGATGTTGCTGAATGCCTAAAACATGAGAGGAATGCAGGGTTTGCCCACTGGGAACCAGGGCTGGGCAGGAATGGGGGCTTTAAATGCACCACGCTCCTCCTTTTCCCCCCAGTGGAAACAACAGTTTTATTCACAATAAGATGGATTAATTAAAGAAATGTATAATTTAGAGACTAAATATATAATGGTGTGTTTCCTGTGTTGAAAATCCAGTGTTTTCAGCTTGGAGTGCTTGGAAGAAGGGGAGCAGCACCTTCAGCTTCTCTTTAATGACTAAAGCAGGAAATAAATCTGATTTCCTCATGCTTGGGAATAACCTCATCATTTGTCAGTCATTCTGCTGTGAATTTTGGGTGTGATTTACAAATGTCTTAAAAAAAGGAAGAGGAAGAAGATGGTCTCCCTTGGGGATGAGCAGAAGGTGCAGTGGGAATACCAGGGATACAGCCCATGCCATGGTGCTTTTTCCAAAACCTGGAAAAACTGAGAAATACATAAATCCTCCTGAGTGGTTTATAGGTATTCTGACATTATCTTATATATGATAAAAGTGAAGGACAGAGAAGGTGAAGGATCTTCTCCAGGCTGTGCAGGAGCACAAGGACAACTTGCCCAGGTTTTTAGGACATAGGGAAAAGTGTCTCCACTGTGGCAAACCCTAATTCCACAGAATTAATGATGCTGCATGAAACCACGGAAAAAAATTCATATATATTAAAAAAATGTATTATCTAAAAGCATCTATTTTATGTTTTACATTGTATATATTTATATATTAAATCTTTTCACCTAAATGAAAACAAGCTTCAGACCTAAACAGGTATTGGGAATATTTTCTTTTTTAAAGGCTTCTTTCCTATTTCTTCCTATTTGCAGCCTATCAGGAAACTGGAATTTGACAGATAAACACATTTTTTCTGGTTTGTTTTTTTTTTTTTAGGTACAAGGTACTGCTTTAGCCAACATATGATGAAAGTCACTGGGGAGAGTGTGTCTGTCACCAAACGCTGTGTGCCACTGGAGGACTGTCTGTCCACAGGATGCACGTATATAAAGCATGAAGAGTACAAGGTATAGCAGAAAAAACTGCCTTTTTATTCTATGTAATAACTGGGAATTGGGGTCTGACAGAAGCCTGGCTGGTTCCATGGCTTGGGCATCCTGACCTGGATCAGGAATAGCAGCAGCAGGACCAGGGAAGGGATTCTGCCCCTGGACTGGGCACCGGTGAGGGGCACTTGAGTGTTGTGTCCAGTTCTGGGCTCCTCAGTTTAGGAAGGATATTGAGGTGTTGGAGCAGGTCCAGGGAAGGGAACGGAGCTGGGGAAGGGGCTGGAGCAGCAGGAGGGGCTGAGGGAGCTGGGGGAGCTCAGCCTGGAGAAAAGGAGGCTCAGGGGGGACCTTCTGGCTCTGCAACTCCCTGACAGGAGGGGGGAGCCGGAGGGAATCTGGCTTTGCTCCCAGGGAACAAGGGACAGGACAAGAGGGCACAGTCTCCAGCTGTGTCAGGAGAGGTTTAGCTTGGCCATTAGGAAGAATGTGTGATCAGACCTTGAAATGGGCTGCCCAGGGAGGTGGTGGAGTCACCGTCCCTGGAGGTGTTTAAGGACAGACTGGATGTGGCATCAGTGCCATGGGCTGAGTGACAAGGTGGGGTTGGGTCAGGGGTTGGACTCGATGATCTCAGAGGTCTTTTCCAACCCAGTTGATTCTGTGACTCTGTAAATCAGCATTGTCAGAAATTAAGTTTCTCTTAAGAAAGATAAAAAAGAGGGGCGAAAAAAAGGAGAAAAAATCTGTGAGCAGATGGATTAAAAAAAGAAGGGAGGGGGAGGGAAAAAATGGGGAAAATGATCACACTGGCCACTGTGCTCCTTTACAAATATCATATTATATTCCTTGTGTTTTTATTCACCAAATCACCAAGTTGTGACCTGTTCCCCCCAGGTGTGCACGTCCTGCTGCGAAGGCAGCATCTGCAACCTGCCCCTGCCCAAGAACTCCACAGACGCCGTGTTCACCACCCTGTCCCCCCTCAACAAGGCCCAGAGACTGTCCCCTCCTGTCCTGCTGACCACAGTGTGCCTCTGGCTGGGGCTGCTGGCCCAGCACTGGGTGACAATGGCACAGCTCTGGGTGACAATGCCACACGTGGCCCGGCCGGGCAGCTGAGCCGGGCGGGAACATCTCAGGGACATCCAACCTCTCCCTGCAGAGCTGGAGCTTTGGAGTTGGCTCTGAAAGGCTGGTTTTCCTCCTGGTTTCTTGGTCATCATGAACTCCCACGCCTGGGATCGGGATGGGCTCAAAACCTCCACATTCCTACTGTTTTTTTGAAGAAACTCATGGAAAATATTCCCAGAATCCAATGTGCTCTTCACAGCATCACTTAGGTTGAGAAAGACCTCTAAGACACCGAGTCCAGCCTAACATTTGTTGCTGTCTGTCTTATCTCTGTGAAGAAATGTTCTTTCCAAGTACCACACCCCTGCTCACGTCATCACTTACTCACTGGACACGGACCTTTGTCACCTCCCCGCGCACTAATTCCGGTGTCTCCTTAACCTGCTTGAGAACCCACAGTAAATAACCCCCAGTCAGTGTCCCCACACCTCCTGATCCTCTTGGAGAGGGCAGCAAGGAAGCAGCAACCTGGAAGGGATGAGCTCAAGGGAGCAGCAGGAGCTTGGAGCAGCCGGTGCTGCCCAAAGGTGCTTCTCTCGAGGTGTCCAATGGCACAAAGACCCCCCACGCAGAAAATCCCTGGAGTTTATAAACTGAACCAACAGAACTCTCAAAATCCTTGTTCTGGTGTTTTTAGAGGTGTGTGATCCCCAACCCTCAGGTGTGAGGAGGATGGAGAGCTGGTGGGTCCCCACACTGAGGTGCTGGTGGTCACCAACCACCACCTCCACGGTGTTTTAGGACAACATTTTCCTATTTTGGCACCCAGCCCTAGAGTATGAGAGAGAGAAAACCGATCCTGAATAGCTCTGTTATTTTATTTAATGAAGTCTGGGCTACCCCAGCTGTGTTTTGGTGCCCTGTGTTGCTTGTTTTGCTTGGAAATCTCGGATGCAATATTTATTTTTCTACGTTGAGTAAGGTCTGAAGTGTTTGAAAGATTCTTAATGCTGATACTGCCAGGAAAAAAAATGGGTGTTTTGCAAGTCAGTGAGCCTGTAATATATAAATTATCAGAAATATATATATATAAAGAATTAACTTTGTTTGCAAAGTCAGTAATAAAAGCAGGGTGTCATGGACTTGCTTAAAGTTAAACCAAACTGTTTTATAATTAATTTTTTTACACCATTACAGTCATAAATTGTCCTTTTATGAGCTAATCTTTTGCTGCTCAAGGCTCCAAGGTAACTTGAGCTCAAGTTCCAGTATGTTTTTGCCCTGAAGTGCTTTTTTGGGGGGAGTTACAGTGAAATGCAGATGAAGGAAGGCAAAGTTGGAATCCAAAGGGATCCTGGAGAGTTCCAAAAAGTAGAATCCATGCGTGGGATACCCTGAAAAATGAGGAATCTGAAGATCTGGGCACGCAAAGGGTTGTCCTGGGTTTTGTGGCCTTGGGACTTGTGCTCCTGGGAGGTTTCTTGGAAGCAGAGGAGGAGGATCAGGAGCAGCACTTGCTCCCCACTGACCTTCAGGTGATTTCTCTGGGGAAGGAAAGGCTGGAAACCTCAGTGTGTTGTTATTAAAAAATGTATATATATATATATAAAAAATATATACACCACTGGAAATTTTACCTTCCAACACTGTTTATTTTCAATTTTTTTATATAAAACCATTTTTTGGGGGGGGCTGGTTGACCTCACACACAGCCAGAGATTTTGGTGTCCTTTCAGTCCTTCTGTGACTTGCTCACAGATCTCCAATATTAAGAGGGTTGTTGCAATCTGTTGTTCTATGCAAGTTTAACCTGTCTCTGGAGATTCCCGCCCCCCAAAAAAATCAACCCTGCAGCCTCCTTGAAGCCTGTCCCCTCCTCTGTATTTAGGGAATCTAAGGAATTGAGGTACTGAGGGGCTGGGGGAGAACGAGGCAAAGGGGGTTGTGGCGTCTCTGACATTAATTTAGATATTTATTATTATTTTATCCTGCAAAATGGAAGAGTTTAAGATTGAACCGAGTTGGGCTCAAGGCTTGGGCTGTATCCCAAGTTCCCCCTGTCCTCAGGGCTCAAACAGGGGTTGTGGCAGCTCAGCTGGGCATTTTAAGGGGATTTCATTTTAATTTTGGGGGCTTTGTAGTTAAATATGTGCATTTAGGGGATGGCACCTCCTGAGCTGAGCTGCTGCCTTGGGCAGGGGCTCACAGTTGAGTTTCTGCCTTTTCAGTGTGTTGTGTCCTTCAATTTATCCCAGACTGGTTTGGGTTGGAAAGAACCTTAAATCCCATCCAATCCCACCCCCCTGCCATGGCAGGGACATCTTCCACCAGCCCAGGTGGCTCCAACCTGGCCTTGGACACTTCCAGGGATCCAGGGGCAGCCACAGATGCTCTGGCCAACCTGGGCCAGGGTCTCCCCAACCTCACCAGCCAGGAATTCCTTCCCAATATCTCTCCCTGCCCTCTGGCACTGGGAAGCCATTCCCTGTGTCCTGTTCCTCCATCCCTTGTCCCCAGTCCCTCTCCAGCTCTCCTGGAGCCCCTTTAGGCCCTGGAAGGGGCTCTCAGGTCTCCCTGGAGCCTCCTCTCCTCCAGGTGAACCCCTCCAGCTCTCCCAGTTTGCCTTCACACAAGACACATATTTTGCAGTTTCTTTGTTATTTAAAACCCTTCCCTGTGGTTCCTCTGGGCTAAATCCGTGAAACCACAAGGGTTGAGCTGCAGGAATGGCTGGATTTCCTGATAAAATGTTGGATTTTGGGACCACTCCCACCTCCTGCAGGGTGTGGTGCCTGCAGTGAGGCGAGGTGGGGGCACTTCCAGGTGGGATCTCTGTGTTTAGGTGCAGCTCAGCCAGACCAGAGACATTTTTGGGTTCTCCACCCACAAATTCTGGGATGCCACTGATCCAATTTAGTTATTGGTGTCATAGAGAGATTAAACCAAGCCATTACTTCAACTCCCTTTGGAACCAGTGGAGGACAAAGTGGCATTTCAGGGGTTGATTTGTTCTATGTGGAGGTGGAGGGTTAAATTCCCTCAGCTCAGGCACATGATGGATGTGGATAATACACCCCACCGAAGGTCTCCAGCTCCCAGACATGTTAAGCCAAGACTAATGCTTTGCAAAACCTGTTTTAGGAGCCACTCCTGAGCACGTCACCAGCTTTGCCCCCACCAGGACGTTGCTGCAGATGGAGAAAATCCCAGTTTTTGTGCTGTGCTGGTGCCTCTCCCTCCCCACTGGGCCACCATCCTGCTCTTCCAAAGGGATCTGAGCCCTGCCCAGCTCAGCTTCTCCCTCCTGCTCTGAGGATTTTGGACACTGAGCTTAAAAACCAAAAGGAAATTAAGGTGGCTGAGCCCACCCAGCACCAGCAGGTCCCTGTGCCTGCTCTGCCCACCGAGCTCTTGGGGGTTTTTAAACCACACAAATGCTGAGCTGCACCATATTTATTTTTTAGGTTCTCTCTCTCTGTGCTGTTGGCTTTGAAATGTCTAATTTTTTTAACTCTTGTAAATGCTGTACATTTGTATAAATAAATGTTTTAAATATGCACAGCATGTGTGAGGTGGTGTCTGATCAAATTGTCCTCTCCAGTCCTGATCTTCCATGAGTTGCCACCCCCTGTGCTGTGTCCCTTTTCCTTTCTCTTTCCTCATCCTACCAGCAAAAAAAAACCAAAATTGAGCTGTATTTAGAGAATTTTTGGAGCTCTATTTAGGGAATTTCATTTTAACTCTCCCTGTAGTTAATGAATCTTTCCCATGGTCCCCCCCCCCGTTGAGCTCCCATGGTTATTTGGTACAAATTGTTTCACATTGGACAATTATTATTTAATAAAATAAGTCTGAGGAGGTTCCTGTTTCATTTGTGACCCCTGGATCTTGCTTTCCCTGCTCTGGGAAAACACGTTCTCCATAATTGTGCTGTCACACTAATTTAGTCCCAGCGTGTTCTGGGGGTTTTCGTGGCTTTATTTCTCATTTCCCCTCCTGAAACCAACAATTCCTTGGATGGAAACAACTTCCTGGAGCTGATGGAAAGGTTTCCAAGTTATTTGTGGATAATGCTAAGTCAGAGGCAGCTCACAGGGTTTCTGCACAGCCCCAATTCCCACAGCTTTAAGTGGAATAAATGCAATTTATGGTAGCACAGGTAACTACGGAACATGGATTTAGAGCTCCTGAAATTCCCAATAATCCCAAAATAAGCTTCTTTTGTGGTTTCATGTTTGGTGCACCCTTGAATTACAAAGACTTTGTTATCCCTTTTTAACCCACCCCAGGCAGCCAAAGAGATGCTGAACCTCCCAGTTATTAGATATTTTTATATATATATATCCCTGATATTTAATTATTTTGGGATTCAAACCAACTTCCCCATTTTCAACAAAATTCCAGCCCAGCCCCACAAACCCCAAGTTGAAATAACTGGCTGGGCAAAGCTTTTAAAAGCATTTTTATCTTCACTAGGTTCTAAACACGTAACATTCACCCTTTTCATTGAGTGCAGCTCAACCCTACAAGCCTCAGGCTGAAAAAATTCCAGGATATCTTAAAAAAAAAATGGACTTTATCCACCATAAAGGCAAACAATCCCAGCTTCCAGGGCTGGGGTAGCCACAGCTTCTCTGGGCTGTGGAATGTGGGGTTGATTTTCCTGATCACCTGGAACGGGGATGTTTTATGTTCACCCTCAATTCTTAACTGACCAACCTCAGCCCGGGTTTGGGTGCAACGTGCCCCTTTTTTCCACATCCAAAATGATGAGTTGTCACCTGAAAACCAAAATTTGGAGCCTTCTCCAGGGGAATTAACATTCCAAAGAGTTTATCTCTCGACATTTTCCACCTCAGCCTCTAAAAGACACAACCCCATCCCCAAAATCCGGCCCTCAGACCACATTTGCTCCTCCTAAAGCTCTTCCCAACTGCCAGGAAAAATAAATTAAAGCAGGAATTACCATGTCCAAGGTGAAGGATGACTATTTTTAACAGCACCAAAGGAGCCCAGGGAAAAGAAAAGCCACAGTCATTATTTAGTCTTGGGTTTTATGTGGATTTGGGTCCTCAAAGTTCCACCCCCAGCCTTTGGCTTTCCTCCAAAGCACAGTTTGTTTCCTTGTTGGATGATGTTGGGATATTTAACCAGAGAAAAAAAAACAGCTAGTTTTTATCCTGGGGGTTACTGTGTAGCAGGAAACCTCATTCACTACCCTTTAAACTGGGAATAATAGAGATTTTTTCAGTTAAATTGTCATTGAGATGCTTTTTGGAACCTATTTTTTATCATTTTATTGATATTCAGCTCATTGATTGTTCAGTGTTTTTTTTTTTAACTCCCAGGTTGGGCCTGACCACCTCCCCTGGCCCTTTCCAACACCAAATATTCCCTGAATCTGCAGCAATTTTCCAGCATCAGAGCCAGCAGAAAACCTGACCATTAAAAAAAGCTGGTGGGGAGAGTAATTATTTTTAAATTGCTAAATATTAATAATAATAACAACCCCATCTATCAGTTTTGTTTGTGAAAATCCTCTTTAATACGGGATTTCTGCAATTAAATATAGATTTTTTTTTTAGCCTTTCTGTGCATCCACGTAAACCCTCAACTCCTGCAAGAGCCAGGCACACATGGGAGTGTCCACCTGTCTATAAGTAATATATATATTATTTATATATATAAATAATAAATATATGTAAATATTTATATATAAATAATAAATATAAAAATATTTATATAAATAATAAATATATAAATATTTATATGTTATATATGATATGTGTTTATTTTATATATTTAATATTTATTATTATTTATATATAATATAAATATATCTCATATATTTATATTTTATATATTATTTGTATATTTATTTATATTTTTATTTTTATATATTTATATTTATTTTGCCAGAAGACTGAGGCCAGGACCTGCCTATGGAGGAGGAGTTGCTCACAGTCTGTTGTCAAATATGAACAGAAAAAGGTTATGGATCACACAGCCCTGGATTTCTAAGGAATAATAAACTAATAATTAGTTTTCCAGCTCTGTAGGGAATGATTATGGAGTGTTTTGTGTTGATGGTAGGGATTGGAGGAGAAGCAGGAGGGGAAGGGGCAGGAATGGGGGTCCCATCACCCCAAATCTGCAGCACAAATAAGAAAGTGGTTTGTAGGTAAAATTCCTGGGCTAAAAAAAAATCACATGTTGCTCTGGATGTTTCCATAAATAAGAGGATGGGGTTAAATACCTGCATTTCCTTTGATTCCTGGGATTTGGGATTCCTGCCTGCAGGAGTTACTGATGTTATTACCTGTACTTTTATCTCTGAATTACCAATTTCCCTGATCTCTCTCTCCTCTCTCAGACCCCAAAGTACCAAGTCAGCAACAATCCTGCCCTCTCCCCTCACTCCCTAATTTCCTTTTCCACACAAACCTGCCTCACTCCTGCACCTCTTTTCTTATCTCACTATTCATCACCAACCTCTATTTTTCAATATTCCAGAAATATGATGTATTTCTGGGCTTCAAACACACAACACTCCTCCCCTCAGAGGGAGCAAACAGGACAAAATAGAGAGAGAAATGTATCAGAAATCCTGCAAGAAACCAAAGGAAATAACTAAATAACCACTTCAGCATTTTGTTTCTACTCAAATTAATAAATCACCTGGTTCAAGATGGTTCAAATTCAGCTTTTCCTGAGCTAAGCCTGGGGCTGAGCAGCAAAAGGAGCCCTGAGGGAAAGCCCAGCTGGCACAAAACCACCCAAGTGTTCGAGCCACACTTGAGTTCGCTGATACCTTGAGGCTTTTCCTGC